CCCCAAAACCCCAAAACCCCATGCTTTTAAATTAGGAATGAATTGAAAATAGTAAATGCAAAATCAAAATAATTTTATAAATTTATAAGACTAATAACAATATGCTGAAGCAGATGATTCATCAGACTTGTCCAATTTGTAATAGCAAAATTAGTTCTTGATGAACGATATAAGGAAGTTATGGAGAGATAATAAGTTCTTTAAAGAATAGGTGTTTGCTCTGAAAACTAAAAATAGAATTTTATAGCAACAATAAAGAAAGCATGAATTAGGTGAATATTAAGAAGACAGCAATAAGGAAAAGTATATACATAACAAATTATCATTAGTTAGTCAATCTATTTCCAACAAATAATCAACAAGATTACCAGATATTAACATAAAGAACAAAAGAGCTGGCAGCTCTTCTATTATAAGAAAAGGCAAGACTTAAAATAACATATCCAATAGGTAATAAGAAGGTAGTCTAAGCAACTCACCTAGCTAAAAGTAACCAGTTCAGCAGAGCTGAAACACTGTGGGTCTATAAAAGACTAGGAGTTAATCTCAAACTAGAATTAATAATAGAAGAAAGAGTGTTCCTAGGATAGTTCAACTAGCTTAGAGTCTAAGGCTGAACGATGAATAAGATAAGGAGATTATAGACTAACTTTCCCAACTCTACTAGGATGAAATTGAAAGATCAAAAGTGATTTTGAAAAGACTTGAGTATTCAGAGAAAAAGAGACAACTAGAACTCATTGCTAAGCAAGAAGTACTGAGGACTAAAATGGAAGTTGAAATACTCTTAGTGATTGAGAAGCAAAAGCTCTAAGCATTCTTAGAGGGCAAGGCATCGGTTTATCTAAAATAAAGAATTGAAGATCTGGAGTTGCAAGTCAAGGAACTCAACAAATCCATTAAGGACTAAAAGGCTGTAAATAGAAGTTTTTAGAAGAAAATAGATATTTTGAATCAAACTCTAGAATCGAAAAAGAAGAAATTCAAAGATAGACTTGACTAGTAAAGATAGTTTCACTAAGCCAAATAGGATAAGTTTAAGTTACTTCAAACTGAATATAAGCTGCAAAAGCAGGAATTCGAAAATGAGATCAAGCATTGGAAGTCTTAGTATGAGTTACTGCTTGATGATAAATAGTAATCCAATTGAACTTAAAGCTTATAGGAAAAAGATTCATCACGAGGCTGAGTAAAGGGTTGAAGAGTCATTGAGAAGAATAAATGAGATAAAAAGAAGATGCAAAGACTTTGAAGATATGTACATAAAGCTGCTTTACGAGTAAAAGCAATTGGTATTATCTATGGATGCATTAAAAATATTAATTAGAAAAAAGACTTGGAAATCAAAGACTCCAAGATAAAATACATAGAAGATGATTTAAAAGAGGCTCTCAAGGTTAATGATGAAGATTTTGATTAGAAGTTACTCAAAGAAAAAAAGAAGGTGGAGCAGAGTTTTGAGAAATAGATTGAACTCAAGTAGAAGATATCTGACTTGCAGGTTGAAATAGAAATTTTGAGCTCGTAGCTCTAAAATAAATAATAAGCAGGAAGAAAAAAATTGGAGGAGCAGAACATAAACTTGCAAGCAGTCATAGAGCAGATAAGAGGAGAGAAGGAGTTATTGTAACAGCAAAATACTGGGATAGTTAACACAAATTAAAGACTTTAAAATAGTTAGAGGGAGATGGAGATTATTGTGTAGAAGTTCGATTATATAAATGAGATATAGTAGGAAGAAAGAGTTAAAGATTGGATTTAGGATTTGAGAAATTAGCTTAAGATTGATTAGGCTAATATAGACTCTGATTGAAAGGAAAAAATAAATTAAATCAATAGATTTTTAAAAACATTTTCTTAAAGCCAGAAAAATTAAAGGCTATTAAGAAATATCTGAATTTATGAAATTAGGCAGAGTGTTTAAGCTCAATGATAATTATCTTGCTTGTTCATTATTCAGTGGAACTAATGCTAAAATACTTAATAGTAGCCTTAAGATGATTAATGAAATTTAGTTAAATTATTAACATTTTTATCAAATAAGTAATAATATTTTACTGTGACATAAAAACAATCTAAGAGTCCTCACAAGTATAAAAAATGATGGTAAGTTACAATTAGAACAAGACAAATAATTTAAGCATGTAAATGAAATATTTATTTTGAATGAGGATATATTCATAGTAATTCATGATAATAAATTTCTTAAAATTTTTAGTAAATCGAAACATGATTTTCAAATTGAATATAATCTTGATGTTAAAAAATAATTAGTGCAGGTACATTAAATTGGCAAATATTTAAATGAATATTTTTTTGCAATAAAAGATACTATTTAAACTAAAATAATTAGCCTTGAAGAAGTTAATCAATATTAATTTAATTTAGGAAGAACAAAAAAAAGCAATTTTACTTTTAGTTTTGACATTCAATCAGCTATGGTTATAAATAAGGAAAAGATAGCTATAATATAATAAGATATTCAAAGTAATTAATACTTACTGGATGTATATGATATTGAGAAAGATATAGAGATTGATCAATTGAAATTATAGTAATCTTCTACACTATACCCAGTAGAATTTTATGATTATGAGTTAAATCCATATGCTTTTCTTAAAAATAATAAAAACGTAATACTTATAAATATGAGAAATTTGCAGTGGATTAAATTAATTAGATCTTTCTATTGCTTTATGTTTTAAAAAAATCAAGCATTTATCAATTATAGAGTCAATGACAAAAGTAAAGAGAATTTTGAAAATAAAAAGTATAGATTAATTGATGTTTAGTGCTATCATAACAAGGAAAATTGTATTAATAAAATAAATGAATTTGAGATAGAATTACCTTGAATTTACCAGTAATTAATTTATCAATAAATTTAATTAATTACTTTTATTTATATAAATGCTTTTCCATTAATTATATTAATAAAAATGACTATTTTTACATATTATCCTGATTATCACGTAATTATCATTAAGGGGTTTTGGGGTTTTGGGG